TTAGAATCCTAAAAATCAAGTACATAAAACATTAATAGGCACAATGCTAGAGTGACAAGCATCCAGTTAATACTTTTAGGAAAAAAAGTGAGGTAGTAACTTTTAACAAGAATTAATACAATGAGGGCAATAAAAATTATTTCACTCCTGAACAACCAATAGGTCAAAGAAGAAATCAAGAATGATCTTGAAACAAATGAAAATGGAAACACAACATACCAAAACAAATGACCAACAGGTACGTAAAAAGATGCCCAGCATCAGCAATCACCAAGGAAATGTAAATCAAAACCACAATGAAAGGCACGTGGCTGGCTCAGTTGGTGGAGTATGCAACTCTTGATCTCAGGGCTGTGAGTTCAAGCCCCACACTGGGTGTGGAGCCTACTTTAAAAAAAAAAAAAAAACTACAATGAGATATCACCTCACACCTGTTAGAACGGCTATTATCAAAAAGGTAAGAAGAGATAAGTGTTGCCAAAAATGTGGAGAAAAGGGAATCCTTGTGCACTGTTGGTAGGAATGTAAATTGGTGCAGCCTCCAAGGAGAACAGCATGGAAGTTCCTCAATATTAAAAAAAGAACTACCACATGATCCAGCAATCCCACTTCTGGGTATCCAAATGAAATAAAAATCAGGATCTCAAAGGGATATCTCCACTCCCATGTTCACTGCAGTATTATTTACAACAGCCAAGCTATGGCAACATCAGTATCTGTCTACAGATGAATGGATAAAGATGTAGTACATACATACAACGGAGTACCATTCAGCCATAAGAAAGAAGGAAATCCTGTCATTTGTGACATGGATGGACCTTGTAGGCGCTATGCCAAGGGAAGTAAGTCAGACAGAGAAAGGCAAATACTGCATGATATCATCTGTGTGTGAAAAAGCCAAATTCATAGAAACAGAAAGTAGAATGGAAGTTGCCAGGAGCTGGAGGGGAAATGGAGAGATGTTAACCAAGGGTGCAAAGTTCCAGTTATAAGATGAGTCAGTTCTAGGGATCTAATGTACAACATGATGTCTATAGTTAGCAATACTACATTTCATACTTCAAAGCTGCCAAGAAAGTAAATCTTAAATGTTCTCACCACATAAAAGAACTGGTAATTATGTGAGGAGACAAAGGTATTAACAGTACTATGATAATCATATTGCAATATGTAAATGTATCAAATCAACATGTTGATACCTATACACAGTGTTAAATGTCAATTATATCTCAATAAAGCTGAAAAAGATAGAACTACCAAATATGATCCAGCTTCTGGGTATATATCCAAAGGAATTAAAATCAGTATCTTGAAGAGATTATCTGTACTCTCATGTTCACTGTGGCATTATTCACAGTAGCCAAGACATGGAAGGAACCTAAATGTCTACCAATGGACAAATGGATAAAGAAAATATATACACATACAATGGAATATTATTCAGCCTTTAAAAAGAAAGAAATTCAGCCATTTGAAACAACACAGATAAACTTGGAGGACATTACACTAAGGGAAATGAGCCAGACACAGAAGGACAAATGCTAAGTGACACCACTCATATGAGGAATATACAACAGTCAAACTCCTAGAAGGAGAGTAGAGAATGGTGGTTGTCAGGGGCTGGGGGAAATGGGGAAGTACTATTCAAAGGGTACAAAGTTTCAGTTACACAGAATGAGTAAGGCCCAGAGATCTACTATACAGCATAGTGCCTACAATGAATTACACTGTAGTATATAATTAAAAATTTGCCAAGAGGGCAGATCTTATGTTAAGTGTTCTTGTCATGTTCACAAAATAATAATGATGATAATAATAAGAGGGGGAAGAAAACTTTTAGATGTGATGAATAGTTTTATGGCATAAATTGTAGTGATGGGTCCATGGATATATAATTATCTTCCAACTGTATGTATCACATTGCATACATTAAATATGCATCGTTTTTTGTGTATCAATCATACCTCAATTAAAGTGGTTTAAAAAAGTAACTTAAGACCTAAATGCAAAAGCTAAAACAATAATGGCTTTAAAAGAAAACATAGGAGACTATCTTCATAATTTAGATGTAGGCAGTTTCCTTATATAAGAAGAAAATAAGAACCATAAGAGAAAAACACCCGATAAATTAGACTGTTTAAAAATTAAAAATACCTGTTCTTGAAAAGATACAGTTAAGAAAATGAAAGACTGGAAGAAAACATTTATAAAACAGGTATCTGACAAAGGACTAGGAACCAAGATAATATAAAAAGCATCTACTTACAGTGCCACAAAAAAAGAGAAAAAACGATTTTTTAAATGGCCAGATATTTCGAACACTTCATAAAATAAAATATATGAAAGGTAAATAATTTTAATAAAAAATGCTCGGCAAAATTAAGCATCAAGGAGATGCAAAATAAAAACTAAATCACCACAGGATCAACAAGAATTAAAAGACCACCACCAAATGTTGGCAAGGATGTGGAATAACAGGAACTCTCACACTCTAGTGGGAGGAGTGCAAAATGCTACAACCACTTTGGGAAAAGCTCTAGTAGTTTCTTTTCTTTTTTTCTTTTTAAAGATTTTATTTATTTATTTGACAGAGGGAGAGAGAGGAGAGAGAGAGAGAGAGAGAGAGCGAGAGCACAAGCAGGGGGAGCGGCAGGCAGAGGGAAAGGGAGAAGCGGGCTCCCCGCTGAGCAGAGAGTCCGACGACGTGGGGCTCGATCCCAGGACCCTGAGATCATGACCTGAGCCAAAGGGCAGATGCTTCACTGACTAAGCCACCCAGGCACCCCAAGCTCTAGCAGTTTCTAATAAAACTAATCACATATGTTCGCCACATTACCTACTAATCCAAATCTTAGGTACTTCCCCAAGAGAAATGACGACATATTTCCACACAAAGACTTACTCAAGAATGTGGTTTTCTTCAAAATAGCCAAAAACTAGCAACAGCTCACATGTCTATTAATAGAAGAACTGATAACGAAATTGTAGAATAATCACTCAATGGAATACTATCCAGCAGTAAAAAGGAATGGATTACTGACACATGCGTTATCAATGATTCTCAAAAATGTAATACTAAGTGAAATAAGCTTTACATAAAAGTACGTGTTAGGGAACACCATTTATATAAAGTTACAGAATAAACAACATTATGACATAACAAAGTCAGAACAGTGGTTGCCTGTGTGCATGGGGCAGGAACTGACAGGGAAGGAGCATGAGGGAGCCTTGTAGGATGATGGTAATGTTCTGTATCTTGATAGGGGTTTGGGTTCCATAAGTATATGCATTTGTAAAAATTCAGCAAATGGCACACTTAGCATCTGTGCATTCATTCTATGTAAAACTCACATCATCAGAAAAACCTGTAAAAATACTGAACTCTAGTTACTGATCTGCATGTTGCAGTATTTAGGGGATGCATACAGATGTCTGCAATTTACTGAAAAACATGTTAAAAATAAGGTAGACTGAGGAACAGAGGGGTAGATATGTGATAAAACTAATAAAATGTTAAAAGAGTTGGCTATAAACGTATTTACCATAGGATTCTTTCACCTTTCTTGTATGCTTAAAAATGTTCATAATAAAATATCGGGGCAAAGAGGGAGTAATAAAAGAGAAATCAAAGAAGGAAGAAATAGCACAGAATGCTAAGGAAGAAGCACCAGGAAGGGAGGGAAGGAGGGAGAGAGGGAGGTAGTGGAAGGAACAGGAAAAAAGTATAGTAGTCCAAAAGTCAGTGAGAAAGGCCATTTCAGAGGAGGCAATGGCCAACTGTGTAGAATTCTTTTGAAAATTCGAGTAACATTGAAACAGGCCCATTGGATTTGGTTGTAGGAGGGGTGTGAATGGAGTAGAGCAAAGCCACATTGAAGTGGAGAGAGAGAGAGCTGTTGGTGAGGAAGGAGAGTAAATGAAAACAACTCCTAAGAAACTAGCTGGGAAGGAGAGCAGAGAGAGGAGGCTGCAATTGAAGAAGGATGTGCAGTCAAAATAATGGACAATACTGGAGCACGTTTATGTGGATGGGATTGATGCAGTAGAGAATCAGGGGATGCAGTAGGTAGAACTGTGTCCCCCAAAATGATACGCTTAAAGTCCTAACTCCCAGCACCTGTAAATGTGACCTCACAGAGAAATAGGACCTTTGTGAATGTAATTTAATTAAAATGTGGTTATGCTAAACTAGGGCAGGCTTTAATTCAATGACTGGTGTCCCTGTAAGAAGAGGACACAATAAGAGGAATTTGGACACAGACACAGAGAGACCCAGAGAGAAAACCATGTGACAGTGAAGACAGATATTGGAATAACACATCTGGAAGCCAGGGAACGCCCAGGATTGTCGGCCACTACTAGAAGCAAAGAAGAAAGAAGAATTCTCCCCTAGAGCCTTCAGAGATAGAGCACAGCTCTGCTGACACCTTGATTTCAGACTTCTAGCCTCCAGAGTTGTGAGAAGTGATTTCTGGTACTTTCAGCCACCAAGGTTATAGTATTTTGTTATGGCAGTCCTGGAAAACTAAAACAGGGAAGATGAATGGTGAAGAGAAAGAGGTGGTAATGAGAGAGGTGATGTTCTTGAGAAGGTGATATGGAACCATTTGCCCGCCAGAGGGTCGGGCCTTTGATAGTATCAGTGCTACCCTCTTCCACCTACGTAAGTATAGCATCATTCAGGGAGGATCTAAACAATCAAGGGCTCGTCCAGAAGCTTTCGGGAATGAAGAATGCTATAGACAGCCTTTGTAATAGATTCTCCATCCTAGTCACTAATACACAATATGTAGCCTGCATATTCAAGTTGCTAGTCTTCCTCTAAACATATAAGAACCAACCCATGAAACTTAAGTGCAGCAATTCTCTACCTTCCAAAAGAGGTTTGAGAACAAAGATGCAAGTCTTACCAACAGGAATGGAACCAGGTGCTCAGCCAATGGTCAAAACAAAACCACCAGAAGAAAAGCCTAGTAATCCAATTTTGGGAAGCTCCTTACCTTGAGCTGCTGTTGAAGTTCACTGTTCAGCCGGGCCAGCACTGCATTTGCCTCTTTATTTTTGCGGATAGCAGTTTGAATAGCCTTCTTCTGTTTGGAAGACTGTCTATAAAAAAGTACAAACAGTTCAGTGAAATAGAACTCAAAGGTCCGGACCCTTGTGGGTCAGAACACTCTGATTCATGAGAAGTGCTCAACTAACAAGGGGCTAATGTCACAGGGCTCCAAAAAGAAAATCATATATTCACAGGCAGGCAGGCAGGCAGACACATACACACCAAATGAAACAAATTTGTCCGGATGAATTATTTACACCTGAAGTACTTCCCATTTTATAACTTGAAAGAAAAGCTGTGAATTGGACCTTTTCAAACTCCGTATTCCATTTATTCCAAGACATTTTAATAAGTATTTCTTCCTGACAAACCACATTAACTAGAATGCCCTTTTTGTGTAAGCCTTAATGGTATTTAAAAGACCTGCAGGTGGCCCCTGTGGACAAGTCTGAAGGAAATGAATAGAACATTCTCTTTAGGAAAAATCCTACATTAACTTAGCCGGCCTATACAACTCTCCTTCATTTATTATTAGGCATGAATGCCTGAATGTGTCTATGTGTGTGAGGATGCTCAGGTATGTGCATATACCAGCATACATCTGTGGCACTTGAGAAAATGTTTTAATACCACTATTGCCAAATTAAGTCAATAGTAAATTCACAGAGCAGGTATAACTAGGGTGACCATATGTTCTACTTTGCCCATTACAGTCTCTGCTTACACTGTTTGACTGGCCCTAATTATTCTTAGAACCCTCTTTCTCCCTCAAAGCTGTCTACAGTTGGGATGATATATCAACACAATGGTATAACCTACAGCCTTATATCCCACAGCAAAAAATACCGAATTCGCAGAGCAAAAGGGCAATTTAAGTTCCCCTAGGAAAACAGACATATGTGCAATCCGTGAGACGTAGGTTCTATGCCGGGGCAACTTAACCGGAATGCAGTGACCATTGTGGAGATCTGATTAATATTCACTGAGAATATACACTATGCTACCCACTCTGCTAATCTGCAGAAGGCATACTCCATTCCCCAAGAAGTTGAAAGATTAATTTTTTCATCCATAAATAAGCAGGGAAGAGGCTTTAAAATCTACTTTTGGAAAGATAAGGATTGGATTTCCAGTTTCAGGACAATGTGGAGTAGACATACTTCTCTCTACCCCACCAACTACAGTTAAAATCCTGGACATAATATATAAGACAAACATAAGATTACTCCAAAAAGTGGAGTGAAGAAGGCAAACCAGCCGAGGAACTCAGTACTCAGGGAAACACATAGCAGTGAATTCCCTGGGTTTTCTTTTTTGCTTCATATATCCCGGACTGGATGGTGGAGAAGTCAGCAATCCATAAATGTCAATAAGGGTAGACAATAAAAAGCCTCCCCCGACCCAAATCCTGCTCTCTCCAGACTTGGAAAGGGGCAGCCTAGGAAGATATAAATTAGACACAATATCTCTCCTGGACACAGATGCAAAATCTTTAACAAAATATTAACAAACAGAATTTAGCAATGTATTAAAAACTTATACACCATGACCAAGAGAGCTTTATTCCAGAGATGGAAGGCTGATTCAATATTCAAAAGTCAATCAGTGCAATCCACCATCCTAACAGATGAAAGAAAAAAATCACATATCAACTGATATAGAAAAATCACCTGATAAAACTCAATACCCATTCATGACAAAAACTCTCAGAAAACTGAATAGAGGCCAACTTGTCCAACTTGATGAAAAACTTCTACCAAAAAACTACAGCTGACATCATACATAATGAAAAACTGAATGCTTTCCCCCCTGAGATGAGGAACAAAGCAAGGATTTCTACTTTCATTACTATTTTCAACACAGTGCTAGAAGTCCTAGCCAACACAGTAATGCAAGAAAAGGAAATAAAAGGTACACATATTGAAAAGAATGAAACTGTCCCTATCAGCAGATGACATGATGGCCTACATAGAAAATTCCAAGGAATCTATAAAAAAATCCTCCGAACTAATAAAAATGAGTTTGGAGGAGAGAAGATTAACACAGAAAAATCAAAAGAACGGGGGCGCTTGGGTGGCTCAGTCAGGTAAGCATCCAGCTCTTGATTTTGGCTCAGGTCATGATCTCTGGGTTGTGGGATGGAGCCCGGCATTGGGCTCTGTACTCAGGGTGGAGTCTGCTTGTCCCTCTTCCTCTGCTCCTCTCCCTCCCTCTCTCTCTGATAAATAATCTTTTTAAAAAATCAATAGAATTTTGATACACTAACATTGAATACTTGGGGAAAAAACAAAAATACAGTATCATTTACAAAGTTTCAAACTGAAGTTCTTAGATATATCAAACATACACAAGATTTACATGCTGAAAACTATACAATAGTAATGAAAAATAGGATCAAAATAGAGAAATATTTATCATGTTCATGGATTGAATGACTTAAAATAGTAAAGATGCCAAATCTCCTCAGATTAATATAAAGGTTTAACACAATTCCCTTTTAAAAAGTTATTTATTTGTTTGTTTGTTTGTTTATTTATTTATTTGAGAGAGAAAGAGACACGCAAGAAGAACACAAGCCGGGGGAGGAGGGGCAGAGGGAGATGGAGAAGCAGGCTCCCTGCTGAGCAGGGAGCCCCACGGGGCACTTGATCCCAGGACCCCAGGATCATGACCTGAGCTGAAAGCAAATGCTTAACCAACTGAGCCACCGAGGTACCCCAAAGGTTTAGCACAATTCGTACTGAAATCTCAGCAAGAATTTTTGTGGATCAAGACAAAATTATTCTAAAATTTATATGGAAAGTTAGAGGAATTAGAATACCTAAAACAATTTTGAAAAATCATAATAAAAGTGGGAGAAATAGAAGACATTTTATTATATAGCTATAATAATCAAGGAAATAAGTAATGAAGACAGTAATCAAGACTGTGCGGTACTGGCAGAGGGAAACACACATCGATCAGTGGAACAGAATAGAGAACCCAGAAACACACTCACACTAGTACAGACAACTTACTTTTGACAGAGGTGCAAAAGCAAGTCAATGGAGCAAGAACAGCTTTTTCTTTTTTTTTTTTTAAGATTTATTTTATTTTGGGCACCTGGGTGGCTCAGTCGGTTAAGCGACTGCCTTCAGCTCAGGTCATGATCCTGGAGTCCCGGGATCGAGTCCCGCATCGGGCTCCCTGCTCAGCGAGGGGCCTGCTTCTCCCTCTAACCCTCCCCCCTCTCATGTACTCTCTCTCTCTCTCACTCTC